GCAGTGGATCTGTGAGAGGAGCACTATTGATCATCAGTGAAAGAAGTTAATATGTGCACACGTTTAAAGAAGTTACGTTTAAAGATGTTGATAGATTAAAGCACAGGAAAGCCAAGCTTCTCCGTTACTAAATAAAGACATATAAAAAGCTAAAGAACACGACTACCGTTGCGAACATATCAGTCGTACCTCGTACGTTGTGTACCATATGCTTGCAGCCTTGCTGGAGTATTGCCAACACATCATATCCAAAGAAGGTGGATCATCAGAAATTGGAACGCAAACGCCATTGTAAATAGAAAGCACTGCTATCGGTAACAAAGTAACAAATTGTTGATACTCAAATTTGGCTCATGTTGTATTTTGAGTAAACGCCCAATAGCCAAATGTGACATGTAAATTGATTTGGTGATTAGTGCTTTAGTTCAATTAATTCGGATGCATTTGATTATGCTTGGCCGGTTACTTAGTTTGCTGTGGATTAGTTTCACCAAGCTTGAGATGGATACAAGGAAAGGTCGCCAAGGTTTGTGAAGGATTACTGGTCGGTCTTCATGTTCTAAGCTCTAAGACATACAAGCCTGATGATGAGACACGACACATACAAGATTTCATAGAAGTTGCTGTACCGGGCAGACATGTCTGCTCTTTCCAGAAAATACGTCCGGGGTTTCCATTGTCCATGGCTATGGACGAGTTTGTCTGGGTTTTGCAGGTTTCCGGCTGCTGGTATTACTCGTGGCATATAGAATCGAAGTCTCCAGGTCCAGCACGTGTGATGGCATACACGACGTGAGTGCAGAAGCATTGGCCCTGATTCCATATTCGGATGAGGAGGAAGGAAATCATTTTAAGTACCCGTAATGGAAGTCGGAAGGGAAAAGCAAGTAATAAGTAAGTACATGGCTAGGAGCTGAGTTGAAACTTGAAAGATCATCTTAGACCAGGCAGAGGCATTGCATATCCAGGGGTCATCCGGTGCAGCACATGGTCCAGCTGCATGCATGCAGTCCAGGTTTGTTGCTGCCCGTGGAGATGAATTAGGAAATACTATACGGAGTACTAAGTTCCGTGCGTAATGTACTCGGCCGGTGAATAATTATTATTATTGCATGCCGTCATGCGGTGATTAATTAGACAATAGAGATAGGAACATCCGAGAGGGATTTCAGCAGATGCGATAATTGGAAAACAGACGTGCTACGTGATTGGCCCATATTGAATAGGAAACAATATGTTTGTTCGGAGTCAAGCGATGTTAGCTAGAAAATTAATATGGCCGGACCTCTCTTTCTGCCTACGACATACGATGAAATAGCAAACCACAAGGCGGGGGGTTTGAGTGAGGATCATACCAGTCTTGTTGGCGAGCTGGCCCCCTTGGTACGGTACTAGCTGAGCCCAGAGTTACTCAGACTTCTCGTAGCATGGAAGAAGCAGTGCGATAGTTGTCGCAGTACCAATGCGCACGGGACCCGTCTGAAGAGTTTGTTTTCGCGTGGGTCGTGCCGCTGCAGGCTCCTATGGCCTGGTTCGCTGTGACGGAGGAAAGGTACAGGGATTACAGAATCAAGTGCCTGGATATCGATTTTTGTGGGCATGGTGGGATGCTGTTTATTTGTCATGTGCCTGGAGGTGGGCTTGAAGAAGGTCATGACCCTTGTTCAATAGGGGACTGCAGAGCTTGTTGGGGAGATGACCACCGCTGAGGTGCTGAATATGTGGTCGAAGCTTCCTGATCGGTGAAGGCTGAATTGAATATTCGATCTTCTAGGTGTTGAGTAACCTGATTGGCTGAAGGAGACGGGAGCCTCGGCTGAAGACAGATCCGTGAAGGATGGTGGGAAGCCGTATGGCTTATGCGACGGGAAGGGCAAGATGCATGCGAAGAGGCCGACACAGTCTGCTGCGAGGAAGCGGCGGGTGTCGGAGGTTGTTCTGGCATGTCCCGTGAAGATGATGCGGGTGGAGAAGGCCTGTATTTCCATCTTGGATAGCTCGTCGAACAGTAGGGAGGTCAACATTGAGTCTGGGCACCTCCCCGCGAGGCGAGCCCAGTGGACCTTTGGCCTCGCCCAACGAGTCCTTCTGGGAGCAAGCGTTCCTCTGACAACTCGAGCAGTGCATCGAGCTCGTCGAGTAGGGGGAGTGTCCTAGGAGTCTAGGGGAGGTAGCGTGGCTGGTGTTGTTGGAGATGCTTGAAAGTGAATCTAGCCCTTTAGTGGGTTTTGGTGGATTGAGTGATAAAACAATTAAAGGTCTAACAAGTTTGCTAAGTGCTGAAGATGAATTGAGTATATTACATGCACTTGAGATTTGTCTATGATTAGTGTTGCATTCTCCTTGAAAGTACGACATACCTATACTTAAGATCAAGATAATACAACTATTTCAACCACTTGAGTCTTCAATGTCTTCATATGCTAGCTATTTCTTCTCAATATCTCTTCATAAGGGGTTCCAATCATTTTTGTCTTATTTCTTTGAGCATGTGACTTGAACCGTTTCAACACATATGAGTTCAATTCATGGCTTCAAATCACTTTCACTAATGATTTAATCCGAAACACAATATGACTTCTCATAGCTTGATTAGTACTTCAACTCAATGCAAGTACTCTCTCCACCTTAGCCACAATACCTCGTTTGCCAAGTCGTCGCTTGCTCTTCACCTTCGCTTAGTCCATCGAAGCCCTTTCCTTGCTATCTTCACCTTATCGAGCCATCAAGTCACATCATATCTTGAACAAATATTAAAAATCATTTCTTCAATATTGTGATCCTTGCTTGAATATCTTCTTGATATGAATGTTGGGCAATCAAGCTTTAGTTTGATTCAAGTAAGGAAAATGGACCCTATGGGCCATTAAGTTTGGATTTTGGTGTTTGATGATCAACATGACCATTTGGACTAATATTGTTTGCTAGCATATGTGATACACTTCAGTACGATACAAAGTGGACTTGGACCAAGGCAGAGTTATGAACTGGATGATCAACACCTCATGCAAGATAATTGAAGCCCTTGTTGAAGACCAAAAATTGGAGCAAGGAGTCCAAGATGTAAAGATGAAAAAACACGGAACAAAAAGATGTAAAGTAGAAGGTGTAGGCAAGAAGACGGGTTGCTGCTGATCCTCACTGTTGCACCAGCCAAAAGGGCAATCGGACTGCCAGGACCGGACTAGTCCGGTGTTGGTAGGCTTTAGCCAGCGGATCAAGCGGCAGAGGCTTTTGGGCCTCGGGCCCACAAGCCAGTCCCTCACGGTGGGACCGCCAGTTACCACGGTCGGTCCGCTAGGAGGCCTTGCGCACGGGAACCGGCTAGGACTTCAAATGGGCATAGCGCATTGTCCGTTGCTTGAGGCGTAAAGAATCCGCACATTGGTTATATGGTACCTATCACCGATCTATCGCTTGAGGCGTTTGTTCTCAAACCCAAGGGACTCAGCTAATGCACTGGTGGGCTTTAGATGAGCGAAAGAAAGATGATGGAGTGCTACGTTACCCATCCAATGCAAAACAGTAGAAGGACTTGGATGCAAAACAGTCAAAGCTTTTATATTTATATTTTCGCCAACAAGCCTCTAGTCCATCTGGTTAGAGCTCCTCAGCGGCAATCCACAGGTCCTGGGTTCGACTCCACGTGGGAGCGAATTTTAGATTATGGTTAAAAAAATCCCCTCATCTGCCCAAGGCCAAAGCACAGGTCAAAAGACCCGACCCGGTTCTCACAGGGCAACGGTGTCCCTATGTCAGGGTGGGGCAAGGGTTCGGGGTTTTCTCGACCTGTGGGAGAAGGTCTTCTTCTATCACAACAATGCTCGGGGGTGGTCTTACCCCCTGCAGGTCGAGTTTTTTTTATTTATATTTTCAAAAGATCCAAACTATTTGTCCATTTTCAACTTATTATTATTGCAACCAGAAATGCGGGTCTCGTTTACCATGGGGAACGTAATAATCTTATGGAATATGTAACAGACAAGATATGTTCGTCTTTATCAAAATTAAAGCGTCAGAAATTGCTGTACAAAAAAAGTATAGGGCTCAAGAATCTCTTAAAGAAAAAGGTAATTAAAGACGTGGGCCTTCGATGATTACCGCACGAAAGGAGCAAGCAAAAGTTACGTTAATGAGGAGACACAACATGTGATTTCTGCTCTTGCTTGTTTACTTAGCTGTTTTAAGATACACTCAATCTTACTATTATTAATTAGAGCCTCCATATTAATTATGTTGGACAATCTACATAATCCCTTAAATTATATTTGCATCTAAATTACCATTTCTGACATGATTAAGAAAACTAAAATATCCACTCAAATCTGCATCTAAATTATCAACACCTTATATATTATATACAAGAAATGTTTAAATCACATATATTTCTACACTACCGCCTTCTAATAATGGCAAATATTAAAAATTGACTTAAGTAAACATGCTTTTATGAACAATAAATATATACGTTATGTTTCAGCAACCATGAAAAATATTTTGTTTTAATATATGTGTTAGAAAATGAATACAGAGAGTGCAAAAAATGATAAGTTATTATTTATTAGTTGTAGGTATTAAACACCCACTTCTAATGTTTATGCTGCCTTTATTTGTGGTGCTGAGATTATACTAGGCCATGTATAGTATGAGCACCCGTTGATGGCTGTTGGTGCCTAAGAAATACCATTTATATCGTGTGTCAGTAACTAATGCTAACGTATACCGGCCCGCACCTTGAAAACTAATTAATAATTAAAATATTTTACACATATACTCCCTCCGTCCCGTTAAGATTGTCGCTCGGGAAGCGGGATTGTGAGGGGGGCACGGTTTTCCAACGACAAACTCAATGGGACGGAGGGAGTATATAGACAAGGCAAGCGCTTGTTGTCGTTTGCATGCTGACGTACGCCTTGTTGTAGCCAGCACGAGAAAGGGCAGATCTGAGCTCGAGCCAGAGGCCGGCGCGCGAGAGAGAACAACATCACCGCAAGCCAAGCATGGGTCTCTCCCATGCTGTGCATTGGTGGCAGGAGTGGCAGATGCGAGTTCTGGTACTCGGAAGCCTCTTCGTCTACATCAGTCTCTACTTCGCGTATTCGGTGCGCATGTCTCCTAAGCTGCGCAAGCTGAGGTTCCTGGTGTGGTCGGCGTACGTAGGCGGGGATGCCCTGGCGATCTACGCCCTGGCTACACTCTTCAACCGCCAGCGGCAGCGGTCGGCTTGCGGCCAGGGTGGCGGCAGCAGCGACCTGGAGGTGCTCTGGGCGCCAGTCCTCCTCATCCACCTCGGCGGGCAGACGACATTGAACGCCTACAGCTTGGAGGACAACGAGCTGTGGAAGCGGCACGCCATGACCCTCGTCTCCCAGGTCAGATATCAATCTTTGATCTACATACAAGTCGCTAGCTCTATTGTAGAACGAAAATGACGAATCATATCGTTTTCCTACGAAACGAACGACTTTAGCTTTTGTCCAATGGGTGGCCGACAGTCTTAAAATAAGGCCGGCGTCTTCCAAGACTCGTGATTATATGCAGAGTGTGTTCGATTGCAGTGGTGGATCATTATACTGCTTAGGTTTTATACGATCTTATGAAATCTATTTCCCGTTAAAACAATTGATTTTAGTTTGGAATTGAATTAATGATTTCAGGCGAAAGAAATGGCGTCGACTAGTGGAATGCTTTGGGTGTGTTTGGTTGCTATTCTGTATATATTGCATCAGGGGACGCATTGCATGTTGAGGGTATCCTTAGTTTTGAAAAGAAGTGTTTGTGTGGGTGTAGTTACTGTTTCACCCGGCGGATTTAACACTACATCCAGGAATTTAAACCCATGGAACTAAGGCACATGCATGTAAGGATTAACAAAAGTGCCTCTACCTTAGTTTTTTTTTTTTTTTTGCGAGACGTGCCTCTACCAACCTTAGTAGTGTAGGGTTCTGCACATGCCATTGCAAATTGTTATTTTCTGTTCAATTTTATGTAAAAGCTGGGGGCCGGCAAACATGAGGTTCAACTAATTAAAATGCACAAGTACTGTAATTTAGTTTTCTATCCTAAAATTTATTGTGGTTTGTCGACGTTCAAAATGGACGCAATGCTCTCCGTCGAGTTTGACATGCCATAATGTTGCTAATTAATGTAACACTGCCACCAAATACGCGGGCATACAACTTTATAGTACAATGAAATATTTTTCTCTTAACACATATTTTGATTATTGCTCAAACAGGCTTGAAATTCTACAAACCAAAATGTGTTCGCTAGTTGTTATTATTGTATAATTCATCACATTAATTCAGAGCATGAATAATTTCTGTAATTTCCCAGGTGGCGGTCGCTCTGTACGTCTTCTGCAACTGGTGGGCGGGCGAGAGGCAGCTGCTAAATGCGGCGGTCCTGCTCTTCGTCGTTGGCATCATCAAGTTCAGCTACAAGCCATGGTCCCTCAAGCGAGCTAGCTTCAACAACATGCTGGCCTCCGCAGCTATGCTGATGGAAAGAAGGGTGGAGAAGGAAGGACGGATTGGTTGGTGCTGGAGATGGTGCACTACCTATTTTATGGATATTATCAGTCCAGATAAAATGGACGAGTTTTTTTCCCTTACAAAAAGTTATCCCCAAGAGCCATCAGCAGCAGCAGCAGGAGCAGAAGGAGAATTAGGGGTAGATCACATTGAAAAAGTCGAAGAATCAGATTGGAGAAACGTGGAAGTCAGAGATGTGACTTCTCTTGGAGAATTCGTAAGAAGCGCAAGGTGGCACCATGACAGGGCCGAGAAGAGTGAAAAAATCAAGGAGCGATTTGTTTTCACACCTGTCAGTTTCCTATACAAGATGTTTGTGAACGTGCCTCGTCCGTATTCCGATCGGCTCCAAGAGTTGAAGTTCTTCCTCCTGTTCAGCCACTCGGACTCATACAAGCTGCTTCAGGAGTGCATCTACAGCACATTCCTGATCCTCTACACCAAACGGCGGGTAACCCTAACTCTGCTCGGCGTATGCCTGCAGCTGTCGCTCCCGTTCCTGACCCTGACGTCAGTGGTGCTTTTCGCCAAGAGCCACAAGGGTGGCTACGACGTGAATGACGTCTGGGTCACATACATGCTCTTCTGCTTCACTGCTATGCATGAGTTCTTCCCCTTTGTGCCCTTCTATCGCGTGTTCCGTGCCAATTGGCATGAAATGGTTTCCCAGGGCAGCCTCATGTCATTCTGTGCCTGCCAGGAGGTCACTGGGAGGTTCATATGGCCCTACCACTTACGGGAGTACGTCATTAAGCATTGGCATGTCAAGCAGGAGCCTGCAGCCAGAGACATCACTGACCGTGTGCGCAAGCACGTCAAGGATGGGTGGAACAGCTACATCTATGGCCCTATCTCTTACAGGGGATTCAACAATCTCAGAGGACAGTGGACACTCAACAAGTACAAACACAAGATGGACACTACTGGCCATGTGAGTGATCTGGCCTCAAGCTTAATGGCGCCATTCGACGAAAGTGTCCTCATGTGGCATGTGGCCACGGATCTATGCTACTGCAAGGATAAACCTATGTTAACAGCAGCAGCAGCAGCGGCAGCAGCAGGAGGAGGAGATGAAGGCTCATGCGCCATCAAGACTCGGCAGCACAACGCTTATCTCTCAATGAAGATATCCAAGTACATGGCCTACCTGCTCTTCATCCATCCTGAGATGCTGGTGCCCGGTGCCAGGTCGGGTCTCTTCAACATAGCCAGCGACCACATCGCAGCCATCTTGGAGAAAAAGTGACAACAAAGGTGGTGTCCCCGTGACTAAGGCGCAAGGTATTGCTCAGCGTGTCATCGAGGAGGATATATTACCACCTCCGAAGCAAGGTGACAGCAAGTTCAGCCATCTGCTGATTCATGCGAAGAAGATCGCTGAGGCACTCGGGGCCCTCGGGGCAGATGACAGGTGGCAAGTGATAGATGGTGTGTGGGTTGAGATGCTCTGCTTCTCCGCGGCCCGTTGCTCAGGTTACCTGCACGCCAGAAGCCTGGGAGATGGTGGGGAGTTCCTCAACTATGTCTGGCTGCTTTGGTCAGCCATGGGGCTGGAGACATTGGCTGACAAGATCATCATGACAGAGCCTCCGGGGGATGAAGAAAGAAGAAAAGAACAGGAGGAAGAAGAAGAAGCAATCAGAGAAAAGGAACGGAAAGAGAGTGCTGCTCGTGCATCCGCCAGGCCAGAAATTTACATCGACCACATAATAACCGAGGAGATTTCTTCGTAATCGACCAAAGTCTGAGAGCTGTTGCAGTAGTATTGCTGGATTGCTTCGTCTGTTTGAAACTTCGTGCTTGTTTTCGCATTTCTTTCTCAGCTGTGTGCCGATTGATTTCATACCTTTAGTTCCTTCATTCATGTTTTCAGGACATGTGTGCTTAGCTTGATTTGCTTGTTCGATGTAACAACTATTATTTTATGACGTGCTCGTGCTGAACTTTGTCAAACGTCAATTATCTTGTGTGCATTCTTCATCGTGAATCATACTGGCATGGTTTAGGGGCTGACTGCTGAGCAGTGTTTTTACTGTTGGACTGGTGGCTCGATGTTCTCAATGATGATTGAAGAACACAGCAGGATACTCACAACAGCATAAAACCAAGCTCAACGCCGAAACACTCCAAAACCCAAAAATGGAGCTCTCAACTTCAATCACAATGAAGCAAGAGTTGACTCAAAATCCTCTGAGCCAACTGGTGACTTGAGGACTGGAAAAAGTTCCTGGGCACTGCTGGACGCCCACAGAACAAGCGGAAGCAAGAGCAAATCAAGGAAACACATCGGAACCACCAGAGGTCAATTATCAGCTCCCAGACTGCGGAACTTCAGCGCTTGAACGCGGAAGTTTAGTGCGCGAACGTGGAACTTCCTTGTTCTGGCACGGAAGTTGGCACGGAACTTCCGTGCAGCCTGTTTTCAGCAGCATGAGCCAACAAAGAAAAAGCCAAAACTCTATCAAACGAACTCCGATTGAGCTCAAAATTGGTGGAGATATTCCTAAGGAAGTTTAGAAACTAGCCCCAAAAGATCAAGGCAACTCCGAAATTCGAGACTCTCCTGGACCGGATAGGGGTTTTCTTAACTTTTCTCAAAAGCCAGCCAAATCACGCTCGTGAGGAATCTGACCAAACGAGTTGGTAGACATGTTCCCCTAAGGTCCTTGCACATTTCTAGCCACCCCAATCGATCTCAAATCTCTGGAAAAATGAAATCACCCAAAATGCAAGAGAAGGGCCTTCGGTAGAGGAAAAACCAAACGAAACAAGAACTCAACAAGAACTCAGATCTTGAGCCACGAATTTCAGAGGTCAACTTGCTTTATTTCTAGCACCGATGCCTGTTAATAGATGTCTCGGTAGTGATAATACGCTACCACAACTGGGTCAAAGCATGAATCGATAGTGATATCCATGAGTGTCACTGCCGGGTTGACGCTTGATCTGGCAATTACGTGGTAAGTGTTGCTGTTGGTTTAAAATATAACATGTCAGTGATATCTTGTGTGTCACTGCTAGTTTAAAACATAACTAGACAGTGACATCTTGAGTGTCACTGGCGGTTTAATACATCATCCAGCAATAAAATTTAAGATAGAGTTAAATACACCACGGGTCCTTGAACTTGTCATGGTGTACCACTTAGGTCCATGAACTAGAAAAATGCATTTATAGGTCACCTAACTTGTTAAATGGTGCACTCTATGTCCATAATGCTTTGTCAGCGCTTTCTTGCTTAGGTGGCATGCCAACCTGGCATGTTTTTTTCATCTAACCCCTCACTCTAGGCCTATGCATGGATTATGTGATCCACCCAATCCAGCTACCCAAAACCCAATCCAATCCATAAGACCCATGGGTCAGAACTTCGGCATGACCGTCGGCAGCCCTCCGCCAAACAAGGGCACCGGAGCAGCACGAACAACGTGGTCCTAGGGCACGCGGCGATCGGAGCAGTGGAACGACGGCGGCGTTTGTTGACGGTGATGGCCGCGTCCTCCGTCGCGTTCATCATGTCCGGCAACTTCACGCCGCGTAGCCGCAGGAAGTCGTTCCCAGTGCAGTTGAGCCGCGTCACACACCTGCACCCGGTGACGCTGTCCCTGAGCCCCCAGTCCCGCGGCGACGCTGGCGTGAATATTGAACCCATGCTTGCAGGCGCACGCCGGCGAGCCGCTGCTGGTGTTGCAGACGCCGAAGGCGCTACAGTGCGCTCGACTGGTTCAGCACAAATCGTGACACGCCGCCGCCGCCATTGCCGACGAACTGCAGCCCATTCGTTGCTGTTGGCGACGAACTTGAACTGGAATTGCATTGGCGACGACGACGAACTCGAACTGGAAGTTGCTATTGTTGGGCTCCATCTCCGGCTCGCCGCTGAACTGCAGTCCATTCCACGGCCCGTTCTGGTACACGGAGCTCCCAACGACGGCAATGGCACCGGCGCGGGCGAACGAGCTCGCCATGTTCCCAGAGCACGGCGAGGAAGTCAGACAAGAGCGCCTGACGGTCGACCGTGACCTCCGCGGTCGGACCGTGCAGACGGTCGTGGCCGACCGCGCACAGGTGGAAAACGCCGCATCGCTAGGAGGACAAGGCGCATGGAGTCGAGGGGATCGACGTCCGGGCCAGGAAGTGAAGAATGAAGCTCAGCGTTTGGCGTGTAGTCTGAAGGTATACGTTTAAGCCAACTCAATTCCATTCCGTGCAGTAGATGAGTAATAGTAGTAGATGCTAGCAATTCCATTCCGTGCAGAGGAACAATTCAAAAGTTTATATGGGGGACAGAAATAATAGTTCAAAAGGTTAGGACAATATTCATGTCAAAAAAGAAGAAAAACCTTCGGCAAACAAAAAAAGCACATGTTGACCCTTACAGCCAGGAACAAAGCGCTCGTCGCCGCTCCTACTTCTTCCACGCGCTGACCCGGCAGGATGCAGCAGAACAGATGCGGCGCCCGGCAAGAGAGGCGCGGAGGAAGAGGCCAAGGAGAAAAACAACTTGCCAGGCCCGACTTCGCGGCTGAGGCTGTTGTGCGAGGACGATGCGACTGACAAGCGTATGTCCACCATCACCGCGGACAGCACGAGCTCGAGGCAGAGCCTGAACTTGTTGGGCTCGATGTGCGTGAGCCCCGGGAGGGCGCCCTTGAAGATGAACTCGGAGGTGCGGCTGCGGAGCACGTCGAGCGGGGTGACGCCCTCGAGTATCCTGGCGTTGGGGTCGGCGTGGTGGTCGAGGAGCACCGACACCATGTCGGGGGACACCATCTCGGCCACCAGGTGCAGCGCCGTCTTCCCCGCGACCCCGCGGGCCCGGCGTGGGAGTTGACGTCGGCAGCGCCGAGCTCCAGCAGCGCCTTGACGACGTCGCGGCTGCAGTGCTGGACGGCGTAGTGCACGGCGAGCGCGTCATCGAGGTCCAGCCCTTCGCCCATGACCATCAGCTTGACGAGCTCGAGGTCGGCCGCGTCCAGCGCACGCTTCATGCGCCGGATCCTGTGGTCGCGGTTGGCCGCCGAGGACGCCGTGTTGATGGGGAGGTAGTGGTGGGTGAGGAACGGTGACTGGACAGGCACTCGAATGCATGTCTTGCCCAAGATGAAGGCGATGACAGGGAGCTGCCCCTTGCTTGCGTACCTAGCTCTCTTCGCCATTGAGGTACTGCACGCCGTTCAGCATTGGTTCGGAAGCATGGCCTTATCACGCTCTCCTTCCGAGGAACCTAGCTAGCTGAGAGTAGAACCACTGGTGCAACAACAGAGATGGCGCGACCGAGCATGGGGAACCTGTTACCCGTAGAGACTCGTCTCCGCGTAAGCAACGATGGCGATGGAGAGCAGCATGAAGAGCGTCCACAAAGCCTCAGCGGCGCAAGGAACCGCTCCTGGTGCCACTGCCGCCCGAAATCAAACTGCGGGTACGCGGCGAGCAGCAACCACGCCACTGCCCGCGGGGCTGCAATCACCTGATCCACGAGTGCTCCCTGGTATGCTGCTGCTTACTGTGCGCGGTGGAGGAGCGTGTCGTTCACCCGCCAATGCGCGTGCCCGTCGTGCTGTAAAAGAAGAAATAAGTGTGAGGGGTTAAAAGAAGATGCCACGTTGTCGTGCAACTACCTTTCCTAGCCTAATTCGCACCAATGCAAGCCTCCTAAACAATTTTAGTAGCAAGTTACTTCTACTGCTAGTGCACTCAAGCAAGCAAAGAGGCAAGCACTACTCTGTTTGGTTAAGTTGTGATCTGTGAAACAGCTGTTGTCAGCTGTGAGCTATGGAAAAGCTATTGTGAGCTATGTGCTGTGGAAAAGTTGTAAACTGTTTGGTTAAAATAGCTATGAAACATATCCCATCTATCTATCTATCTTTCTTGAAATAGTTGTGAAACTTCTCTATATTTACACTCATTTAGAAAAGATGATAGCTGAAAGCCAAAAGCAGGGTTCAAGGTGCTACAAAAAATGTACTACATGAAAGCAGCGGGTTCTAAAAAAGTAGCTTCTGGTTCCACCCGTTAGGTTAGTTTTCTACTTTTTGGCAGCAGAAGCACTTTTCACAAGCTGAATCAAACACAGTCTGAAGCTATGACAACAACAATAGGGCTACTACTACAAGCAACTACCACACAAGCAAGTATATGAAAGTAGTGTACTAGTGTAAGCAAACCAATCGGGGCAAGACATTACACAAGATTTATCCTCAAGGTTCAGTTGCTTCCCGGTAACCTACGACCACATTGGGTGAGTCTCTAGGTGATGGAATCGCACATGAACAAGACTCTCAAGCTTGACCCTCAACTTGGATGTCACAAGAATCCAATCAACAAAGACCACTAGACTTCCATCGAGTATTCCAATAGAGTAACACTTTGTGATCTCCTGCAAAGTGGGCTCAAAACCTCTCACAATAAACTCGGTTCGAGCGACCGAACAACCACCAACACAGTGCTCACAATCCTCGCTGCTCATAGCCATCTAGGTGGCTGAAACCACCAAGAGTAACAAGAAATCCGTAGCCCAACGATGGACTAGTGCCACTAGATGTAAACTCTCTATGCAAATGCGCTAGATCTCTCCCCAATCTCACTTTGGATCAATCTTCAACATAGAGAGTTAGTGGGAAGTGTTCTCAAGAGCTCAAGGGAGTGTGTGATCAGTTGGGAAGCCAAGAAAATGCCCAACGGCTGACCACCCCTATTTATAAGCCCCATCAAAAATTAGCCGTTATGTGCT